GGATTGGAGGTAGGAAGGTCTAAATTAACACCAGTCAATTTACACCTGCCAGTCCATAGGGGGGAATGGAGGGTCCAATCAGGTGCACCTGAAAAACTGATAAGCAGACCTCATTGGACCCTTTGTGTGAAAGGGGCCTTAGTAAAAATGTTGACACAAATAACACTGACAGGGGGCTTACAATGATCAGCTTTTATTAATTTATGTAAAAAACTTTATTGCAAAAAATAAAAACTGTTGCTGTTACTGCTTAAGGCATTAAGGCATGTTGCATTTAGGGCAGCCCATTCATTTCAAAGCCCTACATGCAAGGAATGCACAAAAGAAGTGCATGACCCATTGTAAAAATCGTATGGAGATGAGGAGAGTGGTTGTGTTCTTTAGTCCAAATCAGGAGAGCAAGGTAAGCAACTTTGCTTCTCTATTTATACAGTACAGTGATTTAGCATTTTCATCCTAATACAGGAAATGTGTTGCTGGCTGAATCAGCAGGGGGTAATAAAGGGAACAATCCCACAAAAAAAAACAATCACCACATGTAAAAAACTGTTGAACTGCAAAATATTACATTTTTGTCCATGAGTTCAGATACACTTTAGCCCCCTAACTCCTTACCTTAAATTTGTTAACTCAAAGAGAAAACAATCACCTGAGCTATCAGGTCAGTACTTACCATAGTATAGTACACTCCGGTTACTTTTGGCTCCATTCTTTGTTGTGGAGCCAAAATTGCACTGCCTAAAACCACTTCTTGTTTTTAGCAACCATACAGGTACAGTAAGGTGGATATACAATTTAATATTGTTCCTTCAGTATTTTAGCACATAGAATCTCAGAATGGAGAATGCATTTTGAGTATGTTATATGCAGTATTATACAGTAAGTACATTATTATATTTTATGCTTTATTCTGTTTGCTTAGGTTTCTGTATTGGACCGATTGGTACCGACCAGCAAAAATCATGAGGTCTTGGTGCGATGGATCTCACGCTTCACCAATAGTGAACTCATCTCTTGGATGGCCAAATGGTTTAGCTATGGACTGGGGGTAACTGCTAATTGTCTAAGCAAGATACAGATATTTTATCATGCATAGCTGTCTGGGAAAGAGTACAGTAAGCACTCTTATAAGGCAAAATTCATGATCTCAGGGTTATTTTATTTTAATGTTATAGAAGTAAACCTTCCTTGTCAATGACATATTAAGGCTGCAGATAACAATTTACATTTTCCTGTGTGACCTTGCACACACCATGCAAATATTAACGTCCCTCCAATTTAAGGCTCTCTATATCTAAGTCAGGCTTGCATGCTGCAATGGGAGATTAGGGTGCCAAAGTTCTGTCTTTGGAGCTGGAGGCCACCATATTGATATTTCATACCTCAGACAACCTATTGACAACTATTTCTATAGTGCAGTTGAAGAAGAAGAATTGAATAATCATTCACTGTATATTATAAGACACAGCAAGTCACATTCACTGCTTTATAAATACACCCCTTAGTATCAAATCATTAGGAAAATATTTAAAATAATCTCAGAATAGTTATTCCCAACACATTGAAGTATTGTTTTTAGTGTTGAATATATTTTTTTGTAATTTTTTTAAACAATTATTCAAGGGGTATGAAACAATGTAGAAAAGGTCTACAAGATCCATCCAATCCAAGGTCTGTGCGATAGATGCGACACAATAAATAACAGTTTTTCTTTTTTTTACAGTTCATTGCGCATATTCTGGGTGGATGCTTTCTTTGATAAAGTTGAACACAGCAACTATGATGGTTCAGACAGGCAAACTCTTAGTCGAATTACACAAATGACTCATCCATTTGGACTTACAATTTATGGAGGTAAGGTGACCACCCTCATTTGTGGTTGGACGATCTCTGCATGTTTGCATGAGTGAAGCCCAGGAGCCTGATTGTGAACCACACCACTCTTCAACACAGACAATGGTGTCCTTTTATGAAACAGAGATCAGCAGCGATCCTAAGGATCATTGCTGATCTCAGATCATTGGTTTAGGAAACAGAGATGATCAGTGGAGAACATGTTCTCCGCTGATCATCTCAGCAGACAGATGGCGAGCATATGAAGGAGCGAAGTCAGCTCTTCACTGGCGATCTGTGTTCTCTCTCTAGATTCTCCCAGCCCAGAGCTGGAGAATCGGGGGAAACTCAAGTTACTGCTGCTTAGTAAACGGTGTTTGACTGATCTCTTACTGTAATCTTGGGAGATTACAGTAACATCAGTCGTTTTCCTGCGTTCAAAGCGTTTGTAGATTGCTTATCTCTTCATTCGGAGAAATGATCTACACCGCTTCATGAAAAGCCATTCAGAGGAGAACTCTCTCCTCTGAGAATGCCGGAGAACTGAGCAGCAATCATTTACCGCTGCATGATAAAAGGACACCAAAATTGGCCATGCACCAATGATAAATAAAGTATGGTCAGCTATAACAGCTGTGGTCAGCTGTGTCAATACAGTTTAGCAAATCCTTTATTGTATTTCAATAGGGGTAAAAGTTCCAGTACACATTTAGCCACTAATCTGTTTCAGCCACTAAGGTGTCCGTTTATGAACCAGCGGTAATAGATCGCTGCTCAGTTCTCCGGCATTCTTGGAGAACACAGTTCTCCTGTGAATGCAGTTTATGAAGCAGTTCTCCGAACGAAGGGAGAACGATCTCCAAAACGCTGGAGAACGGTCTACAAACTCTGGAAAACGGCTGATTTACTATAATCTCGCGAGATTACAGTAAAAGATCAGTTTACTAAGCAGAGGTAAAATATCTCTGCTTAGTTTGCGGTCCCTCCGATTCTCCAGCTCTGGGCTGGAGAATCTGGAGGGAGAACACAGATCTCCAGAGAAGGGCTGAACATATTCTCCTGGGTGTTATAAACTGTAAATGACCAGAGAATAGCTGTGATCCTCTGAATCTCAGCTATTCTGTGTGTCATAAACTTTCACCATAGTGCCTTAATTGTAGCTAACAACAATATAAAACATTTTATGTTGTTGTTAGCTATGATCAAGGACCTTACATATCAGGAGCTATATGTATACTGGAACTTTTACCCCCACTAAAATACAATAAATAATTTGTTATACTGTTTCGTTACCAAATTGCTGACCATGCTTTATTTGATTGTCTTTGCATATGGCTAGTGGAGGCTGGAAGCCATGCACCAGTGTGAAATTTCTCCTTCTGTTGGAAATTCAAGGGTTGTAGCACTTTACCTTTTTGTTTTGGACCTGTGCGCCCATGAGTTCTTAAAATCCGATTAAGTTTATTGAACAGACAGCACACACTGCAGCCTTCAACCTGGAGCCGACCCTCTAATGCATTTCACCTATAGCAGAGATCTATTTCTATGACTAAGACCCCTGTCACACTGGATGCAAATTGGCATGTGATTTGCATGCCATGTGACTTGCAAATTGCATGCCAAATCGCATCCTGTTGTCCACAATTAGAGCGGTCATGTCAGTGTGGTTTCGACTTGGTCGGAGCTGCACTGATTTCTAAAGTAGTACATGCACTACTTTTGGTGCGATTTGCATAGATGTATCAGATGTCTTGCAAATCGCACCTGAAATCGGCAGGTCATCTGACTTTGAAATCATGCGACTTCACTGTAAGTTGCATGATTTCAAAGGAAGGTTTGATGTGACCGGTGTGTAAGCCCTGCTATGGGGGAAACGTGTTAGAGGGGCGGCAATGGTATGTGGCATGTTTTGTCTGTGGTAACCTCATTTGTGGTCTTCATTTTTTTCAAACATGGTAAATTACTCCTATATTTTTAGCAAATCCTTCAATGTGTTGTTCCAGCCTGCTTATGTTTTTACATTTTGCTAATTTGGCATTGGATCATCTGTCAAGACATTGAAGTCTTTGGGCCAGCAGAAAAAATGGCCTCTGCCCTAATAATCTGTAGTCCATTTTTATGGCCTCTGTTCTGCATACTCCAATGAAGAATCAGCCAGGAAGACAGTAGTGCTGTCACTAGCGCTCTAGTAGATTCTCCAGTGGAACACATAGATAGTGTACGGCAGACAGCAGTACAAGACGTTCAGCTCACATTAGGTCATGAAAAATAACAACAGCTCTCTTTTGTGCTGAAGTGTGAGAAAGTGGAGGTAAATGGCCTCTACTTCTGGTTTTCCAGACCTATACAAGCGTCATCAATCCTTACATTATCCCTTGAAGTCCTCCTTAGACTGGGGTGATCCGAAAACACTGTATAATGAAACACAAAAGAGGGCATACTAACCTACTGCATTTTCAAAAGCATAATTTATTTAGGAAAAAAAAAGGTAAATGATTATACTCACAAACTAAAGAAGCATTAAATGCTCATCCCATGCACCAGGAGAGGCACCAACCAGAACTGTAAACCATGCCTCAGAGAGCACCAGATGGCATCCAAAAATTAACCCCAGAAACTGACGCGTTTCAAGGATCTTTGAGGAAGAAGGGATGTCCTTGAAAAGCGTCAACACCTGCAGTTCATTTTCGGATGCCATCTGGTGGTCTCTAGAGTATGGTTTATGATTCTGGCTGGAGCATCCCCCATTTGATGAGCTTTTAATGTTTCTTATGTTTGTGAGTGTAATCATTTACTTTTTTGTTCTAAATAAATTGTGTTTTTGAAAATGCACTAGGCTAGTGCACCCTTTTTAGTGTTTCATTCACATGATGTTTATGATTGTGTGTATGTTATATGTTATGATTATGATACATATGTTATGATTGTTTCTGACATGTGAATGGAAGAAAAATCTCCTCAGCAGAGACACAGCATGCAATAAAAACCTAATAGAGTATATAACACGTCGTCACTCATCTAAAACTAAAATAAATGGTTTTAAAATAGCTGGCTTTTATGTAACAAATAAAATGTATCAGTGTGTGTTATTTTTTCATATTTTATTAAGAAGTCACCCCTTCATGAACCAGAAGCAGTACATCAAGTTATTTATCATTATTTGGTCTAGGTTATGCATACATTACAGACTGGAGGCTGAAAGGAATAGTGCGGATTAGGAAATACGATGGAGGGGAGATGACAATTATTCGCAGTGGAATCAATAATATTGCACATGTGAAATCATTTGATGCGGGTATCCAAATAGGTAAGTCAATGTACAATGTTTGCAGTGAATTTGATAACCCTGTTGTATAGGGCATGTAAAAAATAGAAGAGTATGTATAATACTACAAACCATAGGGAACAAATTAATGTATTCTTATAATTCTGTTTGTGGCCACTTTAATATTACAGTGTAACAAAGATTCAGTCTGGGATAAGCCATGTTAAATATTTGTCTGCAGCATCTAAGCACAAAGCAGAACTAATTATCCTGCAGCTGATCATCTGCTTTATACAAGTGCTGACGATTTAAACGAAAGGCGCCATACTCAAGAAATGAATTAAACTATTTCATCAACATCACAGTCAGGGTCCTGAAAAGGTTACTCTTTTTGGCAGCCACTGAACCTTAGGCTTCCTTCGGTGGCTGGACGTGTGATACCAACCCATGTAGGATTTATGAAAAAGTTTGATGAACATTTAGATGGAGCAGACCAGTGAGCAACCTTATGTAAACCAGACCAGTGGTGGTCAAGTTTGTGAAAGGGGCCTCAAGAACACTGAAATAACTAAAAGGCACATTGTTTCCTGTGTACATAATGATACATAAATCTGTCAGTGACTGTTCACATTGTAGAAAATGGTCAGAGAGTGCAGCCATGCTACATAAGATGGTCAGAAACGGTGGGCATGCTACAGTGGGAGTGATGACACAGGAGATAATCAGAGACTACAGACATGATATAGGAGATATTCAGTATTTAATACTCTCAGTAAGATCAATATATAAAAGATCAGAATAAAAATAATATAGAGAATAGGAATAATGAGAATATGCAGTAGACAGTACAGAGAAGTACAGAAAAGTAAGAAAGTATGAAAGAAATACAGCAAACTATTTAACTAGCAGAAGTCAGTCCTTGAGAAGTACCTTGAGAAGGAAATGTCTTATGGGGCCCAAGGGTTGCAAGGTAAGTCTCAAAGGGCTGCTTGTGGCTTCTGGGACCAGAGGTTGGGCAACAGGGCAACAAAGACCATGGCACTGGCAACACAAGCAAGATGGAACCCTGGTTGTTACAGAAACTTGTATGTGTTTTAACAATTTCACATGCATTTCCATTATATCTTTTGTTGTATAAAATTAAGCTACAGTTTATTTTGCTTGCAGGTTTGATTTTTTATATTGGTAAAATAAGTCTTTGGCCTTCAAATAATAATAGATCTTTTGTTTATCACAGGTTCAAATCAATGCAATAGACCAACTAATCCAAATGCAGATTGCAGTCATTTTTGTTTCCCAGCCCCTAACTATCAGCGGGTTTGCGGCTGTCCTTATGGGATGAAGTTAAGTTCTGGACAGGCCATCTGTGTGGAGGATCCATCAAATGAACCCCCAACATTGCAGTGTGGACAGTATTCATTTGCCTGTGCCAATGGCAAATGTGTGCCAGGTTATTATCGCTGTGATGGGTCTGACGATTGTCATGACAATAGTGATGAGCAAGGCTGCGGATCACCAAGTAAGTAGCAGACTGTGTAATAATCATAAAAAGTAAGGCCTTTATTTAATAAGGAAAGCCCCATTGTAACCACAATTTTTTAAAACTATGTCTAAAAATTTTCCTTTGTTTGATGCATCCCAGAAACATTTTGAATGCCAAATACCACAGAAGCTTAGAAAGATTAAAGTGTTTTTAAACCTTTGAAATGTAATGTGAACAAAGCATATCCCTCGATAGCATCCACTTGTCTCAATTCAGAGCACTAAGGGGTTGATTTACTAAAATCTGGTGCAGCTCTGCATAGAAACCAAACAGCTTTCAGGTGTTTTTTTTGTCGTATCTTAATTAATAAAGCTGACGTTTGAAGGTGATTGGCTACCATGCACCACAGCTGCACCAGATTTTGCACTCTTTGTTTTTTGTAAATCAACCCCTCAGTGCCATTTCTGTCTGTTGCCTCATTCCTCTGTTATCTGCATAAATCACTTTTGACAGATTTTCCTGACATCAACACATAAAAAGGTGATGGGGAAGGGAGCTCCAGCACACAGCCTGTGATTGACAGCCTCATCTCTGTTCCTGTGTGAAGGAGTGTGTGTCCCTTCCCTCCAGTCAGCTCTCAGCTCTTCTTAATGAGTGTAACTTCAGCTCCCTGCCCCCTGCTTTCTAAAAGTTCAGACAATCTGTATAAATTCTGCACTTTGAATGGCTGTAGAGAAGAGAATACTGCAGATAAACAGGTACAACTTATGTAGGAGGATTTGTTTTATCTCTGTGTATCACCTGAGGCCAGTCACCTCACCGGGTATATGTAACTATACAACTACTTTAAAAATTCAGAGGTATTCCTAACCTTTAAGTCCCAACAAATATAGTGAATGCTCTTTATAACATTTGCACCTGGTGTGCATGCTTTGAACATGTTTATGGAAATCTGTTAAAATGCCTTTATTGTGATCAATCCTGTCCACAATGGATCTAATCCTGGTGATACATGCAGTTTTTTTTTTCTGCGTCCATTTAATTGAATGTCACCTAACACTTTTACTAATGTTTGTAGTCAAAAGATTTCTTTGCTTTTTGTTTTTAGCTGAATATCTGGGGCTGCAGTAACTATGTAAAAGCCGTATTAAGTAAAATTAAAATGAATAAGGATTTAACTCAATGATTAAAGGAGATAAAACATCCCTTAATAAATATTAAGTAAATACAATATTAAAATAAATTTGGACAAAAAATCATTTAAGAAGACCTGAAAGTAAGGCAAGCCTTTGTTACATTAATCAGTGTCAGTCCTTGTTCCTTCTTGCAGATATCACATGTTCCTCCAGAGCCTTTACATGCCGTAATGGGCGATGCATTCCTCAGAACTGGCGCTGTGATAAACACAATGACTGTCTTGATGGCAGTGATGAGCAGAACTGTCCCACCCAGGGTCCCCAATCTTGTCCAAGCAGCTACTTCACCTGCAGTAATAACCATTGCATTCCTCGTATTTGGCTCTGTGATACAGATAATGACTGCGGAGATGGATCTGATGAGGTGAACTGCAGTAAGTGCCCAATTTCCTTTGTAATATCTGCCTTAACTCTGGAGAACCTGAAGGTCTCCTGTTTTTTATACCTGCATGTAATCTGACCAAATAATGTAACTACAGTATAATTTCAGGAACAGAACAACAAGTTGTAAGAAAATGCATTTGAGTTGCACAAGTCTATAGCAGGAAAAAACTCAGCTTCTATGTTGCAAAATAGAAGCTTCCAATATTTTCTGTGCTATCAGACACAATCATGTAGTGAAGGAATGGGATCTCTCATCATATAATGAGGGAATAGGATTTCTCATCATACACTCACCAGCCACTTTATTAGGTAAACCTTGCTAGTACCGGTTGGACCCTCTTTTGCCTTCAGAACTGCCTTAATTCTTCATGGCATAAATTTAACAAGGTGTTGGAAACATTCCTCAGAGAGTCCATATTGACATGAGTTACTGTTGCCTTTCTATCATCTCGAACAAGTCTGCCCATTCTCCTCTGACCTCTGACATCAACAAGGCATTTTTGTCCACACAACTGCCACTCACTGGATATTTTCTCTTTTTCGGACCATTCTCTGTAAACCCTAGAAATGGTTGTGCGTGAATATCCCAGGAGATCAGCAGTTTTTGAAGTACGCAGACTAGTCAGTTGGGCACCAACAACCATGCCACATTCAAAGTCACTTAAAACCCCTTTCTCCCCCATTCTGATGCTCGGTTTGAACTTCAGCAATTCATCTTCACCACGTCCAGATGCTTAAATTCATTGAGTTGCTGACGTGATTGTTTGATTAGCAATTTGTGTTACCAAGAAATTGAATGGGTGTACCTAATAAAGTGGCCGGTGAGTGTGTAATGGGGAAATGAGATCTCTCATCATATAATCGGGCGGGGTATGGGATATCAATAGATTGCTAAGAAACAGCAGGGGAAACTCCCAAAGTCTTCTGCACTCTGGGTGCTTAGCCGTAGCGAATGAGAATCCAGCGTTTAAGTGCAAGTGAAAGGCACAGGTGCACCAGCCGGCCCCACCACTGGCAACCTGTAAAAGTCTATGAGCTGCTAACAGCTGCTTTAGAGTCCTGCTGGGCTGAACGCCACACTAAAATTGTTGGTACTTGTGCCAACAGTGAGGTGCAGTAGGCAGAGCCTGATACAGAAATGAGGGACTATTTCCCCATCAGGTCCACCTTGCTGTTGATTGACACTGCACAGTAGTAGACGGATCAATAGCCGCCACTCAGTTCTATAGCTGTTTTCAAATTCCCCCGGTTTCAGTCAAAAGAAGGTGGATCTGATAGAGAACTAATCTCATAGTTCCCCATTAGGCTCGCCCTCCCAACAGCCTCTGTGGCTGTGGGGATTAGTGTTTGAATTTTATGGAAAAAAAAAGCCATGGCACACACTTATGCTACTACTTTAGCAGACTAATGGTTCACATTGACGGGCTTTCCTGTCAAACATTGCATTCGCTATTTAAACCCAAACACTTGCATTTGAATGGCAAATGCACCGTTTGACAATAAAAGGTACACCTGACCCTTTTTGTTTGCAGTTCAGACTCACCTCAATGTTCTGTCCAAAGAAATGCAGCATTTCATAATGCAAAGCAAAGCAGCCGTGTACTGCCATGTGTACTGTTCATTTAGATTCAATGGGATTTTACTGACTTTCATTTGACATGCACTCCAAATGTACATCAAACACAGAAAGCAATACCCATCTACATGGCCCCTAAATATCACAGATATAGATGGACATTAAGATGTTATACAAAATGACTGATTCTGCTTTAGATTTTTGTGGCACGTATGCATTTCTAGGTCTTCATGTGTATTATTCTCCATTATTCTTAACACTGTTAACATAATCAGTACTGAATATTGTATGATGTGTGTAATGACTGCAGATATTACCAGCACCTGTGAGCCTGGGCAATTCCAGTGTCCAGATCATCGCTGCATTGCCCCATCTTACACCTGTGATGGAGACAAAGACTGTGTGGATGGTTCTGATGAGCAAGGTTGCAGTAAGTATAAATTGTACAATATGCTTTAAGGGGTTGTGTAGTTTTGGAGAGATTGAGGAAAGGATATATCCTTACTTGGGCTTTTATTACTATTTCCATAATGTCTTGTCCTCTGGTAACAGACACAGGAAATGAGGTGAAAGCTTTTCAATGTGGCCATAGATGGCAGTAAAAGAAAAGAAAATGACAAAAGTATTTACTCTTTCCAGGTCTACGTTTTAAGACAAAAGTTTTGAATTGAGTTGGACTTAAAACATTTAGCTAGCTGCCCTAGTTATAGTCACTAGTGATGTAACAGATTTACAGAGAAAAACTGTAACCGTATAGTACAGACTAAGAAGTTAGTCACAGCCAGTAGTGTATGAGCTGGAGAGAGGTCACATTACATGCATCTTGATCCTCCTCTGTCCACTTCTTTAAGATTTCACATTAGCAAACAACATTATTTTGCTTGGTTAAAAATGCAATAAAACAATTTTTTTCTGCCAGGACTAACTTATGTCCTCTATTTATTCCTGCCATACTGATACTTTTTACAGATATTTTGCATTCCATTGTCATCTAAAAACAAAAAAACTAATTTAGCACAAGGGGCATTACTTGCTTTTAGAGTGAAGTGTCCCTTGTGCTTTTGTCTGCTTATGTTCAGTAGCAACCTTCCCCCACCAATGCCCCCCTTCGTCACAGTAATGCTCTAGTGCAGCGGGGTTGATAGAACTGAGGAGCTGTTGCAGGCACTCTTCAAGAGTACCCAACTATGCCCGCCCTTTCCACCCAGCTCTTTCATTCATTGAAGCCATACTACTATTTCTTTGAATGAAACGATCTATGAATGGTGGATGGGGGGGGAAGGATGATTGAAATGTCCACCCCCCTCTATTCAAAGATCATGTTTTATTCATAGAAGCTGTAGTATGGCAATTATAAATCGAGGAGCTGGGGTGGGCATAGTTGGGCACTCTTGATGAGTGCCTGTGACAGCTCTTCAGCGCTTTTTACACCCACTGCACCGGAAGATTATGGGGGGAATGTTGATGGAGGTATCGGAATAGACAGATTACTACTGAACTAGAAAACAGAAGAAAAATGGACACATCACACTGAAGGTAAGTAATGTTCCTTGCGCTTTGTATTTTTTAGATAAACTTAGAATTTATTGTAAACAAAATTATAATGGAAATGACTAATATTGTTCTTTTCTTGCTTAGTTTACAACTGCACGTCTTCCCAGTTTGCATGTGCAAGGGGTAACCAGTGCATTAATAGCTACTACCAATGTGATGGCGTCTTTGACTGTAATGACCACTCTGATGAAGCCAACTGTCGTAAGTAAATAAATCTACATTATTGAAATTGTGACATATATTCATGCTTGCGATTTTTGTTGCTCGACTTGTACGAGGTTCTGCACATCACAAATAATACAGCCCTTTCACTTCAATTGGCTGCTCTATGCATGCTTGATGCCCAGAAGAAGCCCCTGCTCAATTATGGGCAACAAGCTTAGCAAAATTTTTAAATGCATTTTGTTGCGATTGTCTGTGATTCTGTCACATGGCAATTTCGGCAGAATCACAGCACGTTTGGGGTGCCATTAAGAATAATAGCACACGAATGCGTGTCTCGTGTTTTGCTGCGATTTGGAATCGCGGGCAGAATCACCATAATTCTGTCCACAATTCTAGATTGCATAATGTGAACAGTGCCTAAGAGTGCAAAATGGGCCATCAATAATCCATGGTTAAAAACAATTGTACCAACATTAACAAAATAATAATAGTCAGCTTTCTCTTATTTGCAAAATTCTGCAAGCAGCATCTAAGGTGGCTGTGCCTTTGGACATTTTTTGCTTCTTTATGATCCATTATGGTTTAACTTTTACAACGGTAAACCTAATATATTTTTAAGAACCAAAAAATCTTGTTATGTGTAGTCTTTAACTCTTGATCTGCAAAGGTTAACAGTAAGCCAGTCACTGAATAGCAGGTATGGTTGGGCTTTACTTGGTGAGGCTGGTACAAAATAGCAGGTATGGCTGGGCGTAAATTGGTGAGAGCCAGTTACCACTACCAGGTGTGAGTGGGAATTAAGTGGTTAGCCAGATACCAAATACAATACCAGATGTGGATGGGCATTAAATGGTGAGCCATTTACCCAGTAGCAGGTGTGGGTGGGCTTTAATTAGTGAGCTGGGTACCAAAAAAAGCAGTTGTGGGTGAGAGATAATTGGTAAACCTTTTGCCAAATATCCAAGTATGGGTGGCTTTTACCTGCCGAGCCAATACCATGGATGGATATTAGTAGGTAACCCCCCCCCCCATACCCCAGAGCAATCAAGCCTTTTTAAAAAAAAAACATTTTTGGATTTTTCTTTAATGCTTCTGATCAGGCTCCAGCAAGAGCTTACAAACCTGTAAGGGATTTAAGCAAACTGAATATTTTAGGCTCTATCCGTGCTATAACCATTAGACTTTTTTCAAGACCACTCTTTCAGCCCATAGTAAAAAACGGAACTTTTTTTTTTATTAAAACACTGTACCAGATGAAATTTAGTCATCAAAATTTTTACTTTCTATGCTTTCAGCAACAAGACCAGCAGGAATGTGTCATCAGCATGAGTTCCAGTGTCAGTCTGATGGGTCTTGTATCCCATCAACCTGGGAATGTGACAGACACCCGGACTGTGTTGACAGTTCGGATGAACATCACAGTTGCCCAGTAAGGACCTGTCCCCCCTCTAGCTTCCAGTGCGACAATGGAAACTGTATTTATCGGTCATGGATCTGTGATGGAGACAACGATTGCCGTGATATGAGCGATGAGAGAGACTGCCCCACTCCACCTTTCCGCTGTCCCAGTTGGCAGTGGCAGTGCCCAGGCCTCAGCATCTGTGTCAATATCAGCAAAGTATGTGATAACACACCAGACTGTCCCAATGGGGCAGACGAATCCCCACTTTGCAGTAAGTATGTTCTTAGAAACCAGACTTCTATCATTGTTGTGGTTTGTTACAGTCTGCAGGATCTGTCAGTGTTAGGTTTCAACATCCCGGATAATCTGCAATCTTGGAGAAAATTTTAAATCTTAGATCTATAATTTCTTTCACATGCAAAATTTAAGCTTAACTCCAGGCAAATGTTCAAAATGACAATAATGTAGTCATGTATTCCTGAAGGAAATCATTAAATGTATTTAGCAAAAACATGAAACAAAAAACTAGTGTAAATACCTAATACTAACTTGGTATTAGTCTTCAGTAATTCACTGCACAGCGACTTGGATGAAGGAGGGGCAGCAACTGGAGCCAATCAGGTGTCCTGCATTTACACGTGCCAAGAAGGAATGTCCTGACAGGAGGCAATAATAGAGTGAGCAGAAGTATGACCTCATTAGTGTGCTGCTTCACCTTGATTGTCCAAATACAAGCTTGGAGTTGACCAAGCTGTATTACCTAAAGTGGAATTCCGGGATAACCCTCAATACTCTTAAATTTGTCCCCTACCCCCTCCTAACACCTATACTTGCTAAGCTGTGTAGGAAAGATGCATATACTTATCTATTTTCAGGCAGATCCAGTCTGTTCATTGGATCTCGTTCTCCTGTTTCAGTCAGTGCTGCTGCAGGGGAGAAGAGGGAGCACCAACAACATATGGGCAATTGGAGACTATGAGTCAGGTCACCACTTCAGGCTTAACCAGCCATTGTTGGAGTGCTCTCTCCTGAGATCATGTGAGTGGACTGGAGTGGCCTGCAAATAGGTAAATATACACATCTTTCTTATATAGGCTAGTAAGCATGGTGGGAGGTGGGAGGACAGAGTTTTAAGAGTAGTCAGGGTTCCACTTTAAGTGCAGTAAAGAAATGTCAGGTCATTCACCTGGTTATGCTGTGTTCCAGACAGATGCAAATCTGTTGCAGGTAAAACTGCTCTATTACATGTATTTCAGCTGTATATTTGGCTGTTTATCTGGAGTTCAGCTTTAATTTTTCTGCATGTAGTAGATGAAACACCATTAGACAAAATCATGCCTGGATAATCACTTCTTAAAGTATAACACTGAAGACAAAACATATTTTTTTTTATTTTGATAGAGTTGTGAAGAATTAGAATCCTTGGCAAGTTTTTATTGCTGTCTTTGTCCCTATTTAGGATTCACTTTTTCTAATTGCCCTGATCCCCAGTGTCACTAGGAATGAAAATGAGGGTAAATCCAAAAATTTGAGTTGTCACCAGAAAAGGAATAGAGGGGAAATCTTCCAATTGGGACACCTCTTTCCTTGACAACTGTAATAGGGGATAACCTCATATTGGAAAGATAACCTCTCACTTGAGAGGTTGAGTCAACAGGATGGGAAGTGAAAGGAAGCCTCCTTAATGAGACAAAGATTGCAAAAAACCCTTCCCTACTCTATCCAAAATGAAAAAAAAAGGTTTTGACTTTAAATTATCTTGATAGTTGGCCTTTAAAAAGCCACAGTAATGAATGTGTTGTAATGTCCTTTCACAATTATCTTCAAATTATTATGATAATGATCTTCTAATCATTAATATTTCATCGAATATGCATGATTCACTTTTGATTTTTAATTGATTCTCACTTTTTCTCTTTCTTTCTTTTAATTCGATGCAAAATTTCAGATGAAGCAAAACCAGGTACTGTCATTTTTCTCTAATTGTTTTCTTTTGATTTACATTAGCTTTACTTTGAAGTTGCACAAATTACCTTTATCTTCTAAATCTATATACTTGTTAAAGTGACTCTTTGACTACATCAAAAGTGCCGCAAAAGCCTTTCCTTCCCTGCCATCTACTTTTTTGAACTCTGCTCTGATATTGATAAATGACTCCTTCCAGGAGTGTCAGACTGTTTGGTTCCACGCAACTTTCAGTGGTTCCTCTGTCTGACCTACACCCACTACAAGATACAATGGTGAAGTAGGGGTCAGCAGGAAGAACCAGTGAAAACCAAAGGAATTATTCCACAACTGTTGATTTTCCAGTAAGCTTTGGGGGTTAATTTCTCAAGATCAGAGTTCAGCAGTGAAGATGGCAGGGGAGGTAATTATTTAAATTTACCTTTTACAATTATGGCTTTTATGACGCATCTTGATACAGCAACAGGGTTGCTTTAATGTGTAATTTCAAAACTTGGGCTAAATTCTAAAAATAGGAGCTTCCGTGGTGACATACTGAATTTTCAAAATCAATTCTGCATACAACACTTCTGCGAACCTGCTTATCAGTACCACATTTATAAAGGATCAATTAGCTGACATGAAAAATGGCAAACATAATTGTTCTTATCAATAAACGCTGTTGTTTTTTTTTTTTTATAAAAAGTAAAAGCTACAGAATTTGAGTAAAAGAGTGAAACACTGTATTATGAGTATTTATGTTCACCACTCTCAGAGTGTCAAATTTTGTGTACTTGAAGCCATGTATTCCTCTTTATAAATGTGCCACATTTCAATAAGATATTGAAAACTGTTAATGAACAATAAATGGTGAACTTGGAGAAAGGATAAACCGACCGACTGCCTTGGTAACATAACCATTGAATCCACGTTTATAAATAGGACAATGGAAAGAAACAAGTCATAAAAGGACAAAAGATCAACATAAAAGTGCCATAAACAGCTATTTCACTCCTTTATATACAGCCACAGTCTTTCAAAACGAAAACAATAGTTGTGAGGTTTCTGACCTATATTAGAACAACTGCAGTTTATTTGATTGCCATCAACAAAACATATGCTTTGTTTTTCTTTTCTTGATAAACATAGGCAACAATTTCCAGTTATCAGGAAATATTGAATAGTACCTATCCTCAAGAACAAAAATGTAGTATTTTGCAGCTTATCCATCCTTAGATGTTATGTATGCATTTGTTTTTTTCCAGACATTTGCCTCCCTAATTCGTGCCAGTAAAGCCAGGCATAGGTGATGCGAATTGCTTGAACACTGACTGTGTCGATGGGGGAATCCTTCCTGTGGAGCTATTGAGTCCCCCCCGCTGACAATAATCACATGAGAAATCTAACAGGCTGGTTGTACCCAAGTCATATAACAATTGTATTGGGTACAATCAGCCTGCCCATAGATGTTTTGAATCTTGGCCGGTCCCTGCTGAACCAGACAGGATTTGAACCATCTATGGCTGGCTTAACACACTTCTTGCCATACGATGACAACACTCACTCTCTGTGCTGTATTTGTAAAGGAGTAGGGTTGTCACCCTAGGACAGAAATATAGAACACCGCCTCTTTTTTATATAATAGGTGAGATGTCGTGTAGTCCAACTAATAAGAGTGGTGCACAGTCA